AGGATGGGGCTGGTGGATTCAGATGAGGGCTGTCAGCCACAGAAGTTGCTCCAGTGAAGTAATGTGGCCTCTTGTACGCTGTGAACCCAATGCCCTCCCGAAAATACTTCATCTGTGTTGGTTTATTCCTCAGGCTGGGAAAATGTGTGCTGGGCCAGGGGAGCCCCAGAGGTGCGATGTGTCACCCGGCTCCGGCCGGGCTGTGCCCCTCCCTGCCCCGGGCCAGGGCAGGTCCTGCGGCCGCTGCCCAGCGCGGCCCCAGCAGCAGCAGCAGGAGCAGCAGCAGCACAGCAGCAGCAGCAGCAGCAGCACAGCAGCAGCAGCAGCAGCAGCCGGCACCGCTGGCCGGCACCGCTGGGTCTGAGCGCCCGTGGCCGAGCCCCGTGCGGAGCTGCCGAGCCCGGTGCGGGCAGTGCGGGGAGTGCTCTCCGCTGCCGCCCGGCACCGGGGCCCGGCGGGGACACGCGGGGTGCCGCGGCTCCCGGCAGGGCGTGCCCGGCCCCGGCTGTCTGCGGGCGGAATGGCGACACCGTGTCCCGGCAGGTGAGGCTCGGCGGAGCCGCTGGCCGTGCTCTGCCCTCCTGCCGTGCTGCCGCTGCCCGGCACTGCCCCGGCCCGGCACGGCCCGGCACAGCACTGCCCGGCCCGGCACTGCCCCAGCCCGGCACTGTCCGCTCCGGCACTGCTCCGGCACAGCACTGTCCCGGCCCGGCACTGCCCCAGCCCGGCACTGCCCAGCCCCGCCCGGCCCGCTCCGGCACTGCCCAGCCCGGCACTGCCCCCGACCCGGCACTGCCCGGCCCGGCACTGCCCGGCCCGGCACTGCCCGGCACAGCATGGCCCCAGCCCGGCACTGCCCCCGGCCCGGCACAGCACTGCCCCGGCCCGGCACTGCCCCGGCCCGGCACTGCCCGGCACAGCACGGCCCAGCCCGGCACTGCCCCAGCCCGGCACGGTCCCAGCCCGGCACTGCCCCAGCCCGGCACTGCCCCGGCCCGGCACGGCCCGGCACAGCACTGCCCGCTCCGGCACTGCCCCAGCCCGGCACTGCCCCAGCCCGGCACTGCCCCAGCCCGGCACTGCCCAGCCCGGGCACACGAGTACAGCTCAGGCTGCTGTCAAAGCGTGTCCGGCTGGAGCTGGGCACTGCTGGGGGCAGTGCTGCTGAAACACGGGAAAACAGAGCATCCCTGGTATTTGGCTAAAAATATGGGGTCACTAAGCCACATCTGCCTCGCTCCTTATACCGCAATATTTCAGTGTAGGCATCGGCCAAGTAGCAACAACCCTCCATGGTCACATAGAAATGAAACCAGACTTTGAAATGTAATTTTCATGTCCTTCCTTGGCAGGAGGGGACTGCTGCTCCCTGTCACTGCCTGCCGGTCTGTGGAGCACGGCTGGGTTAGGTAGTGTGGGGCTGTATGAAAGGCTGTGCGTTATTGCTGCCCTTTGGAAACGCCTCCGTGTCGGGAATTGCTGTGTTCTGTGTGAAGGCAGACTCACCTTGTGCTTCCACTTGTGGCCCTTGGCAGTTTCCCACCAGAATACTTTTAAACATGCTGGTTTGGGTCACAGATGCACAAATCCTCTGGAAGTAAAAGGGATACTTTGGTAAAACTCCACATCTTTCACCAGAGCAGCTTTTCCTGCCCAGCAGCAGCCCTGCTTTGTGTTAAATAGTGAGAGTAACTAGTAAGTAGTTGGCTGTGTTTTTTCCCTGAAGAATTTCTTTGTTTGTAAATGTGGCGGTGAAGTGTTGATGCCTCTGTCATTTAGGGGACAGGCGGTGCCCCCACAGCTGGGCAGCTCAGATTGGAAATGGCAGGTTTGGAGATGGGATCAGGGTGCCCGAAGTCCCGGTTGTAGAAGAGGTTTGGAGACGCTGCCCGTGTGCTGGGGGTGGCAGGAGATGCGGGTCCAGCCCCAGCTGCACCCCTGGGCTCTGGCTGGGAGCGCTCTGCCCTGGGAGAGCTGCGGGCAGCGCCCCAAATGTGCCTCAGCATCACGGGCACCGCGCTACCGGCGAGCCTCAGAGCCAGGGAGCCTCACCCAGATGATATGTGAGAGAAACGAGAACATTTCCAGGAGCTAATATTTAATTTGGCTGCATCGGTGCGGGCAGGAATGTGCCATTGCTCTGGAAGCCCAGGGAGGCTGTGAAAGGCAGGGAAGGAGGGCAGTTCCACTGGCTCTCTGCCAGGCACTGGGATGATAACAAGCAGGATTGAAAAAGAAAATTATAAATAAAGTCCTAGGCCTGAAAATCTGCAAGCTTCTTACAACTATCTTTTATTTTATACCTGGATACGTTTAGTGAAAAAGAAAAAGATGATAAAAGGTAAAGAATACAGCAGGGATGCCTTTAGTAGCATCACTTGTTTGGGATCTACCTTTTGAAAGGGAAAAAATGCCAAGCCAAGCAAATAAGTGTCTGTTGTTACACCTGGTGCACTTTGCCTTTACCTATGAATTTAACTTTTGGGACTTATATGGTTTTTTTTTTTAACCAACCTCCTCCTCCTTCATGGCTGGACTCAAACAATCCTTTCTGGGATGGAACTCGGGGATGCTGAGATGCTCCCACTCCTGCCCAGTGCCAGCCAGGCCAGTGTGCCCACGGTAGGTCTGCCTTGGTGACACAATTCCTCACGGAAAATACAGAAGCTGCCTAAACAGCACAAGGTACAAAAGGGTCAGGTTATTATTATTTCTGGGGTTTAATATAAAAACATGGAGATCCTGCTCCTGGTTCCTGTATCAGGGAAGGGACCTTTGTTTCCAATCTGGATCTGTTTGACACGATATCCAGCAGGAAGGCAAAGCTGTTATCTCCAATGCTGGGATGGAAATGAGGAGCAAGGACACTTTATCTCATAATGAGGGAGAGATGAGATTGTCCATATGTTTCCCACACTTCCTCTGATTCAGATAATCTTTTACAGATTAACCAAAGACTTCTTATTCTTTGCAAACAAAACAAAATGCTCCTGCCCCTGAAAACTTTTACAGTCATTATTTTTCAAAAAAAATGTGACCAAAGTTTGGAAAAATAATAAGGATGGAGTGGGGTGATTAGTCAGACACAGGCAGCTTTAATGAGAAAGAATTAAAGCTCCTGAAACGTTGGGAACAGAAACCCCTTCAGCAGCATTGTGACATGGGCTGGTCTCACTGCCTTTCTGAGGGAACTCATTATTTTAATAATTGCAGCCTAAGAAAACCTTCAGGCTTTGGACTCTTCAGGAATAATAACCAAAAAAAAGGCAAAAAGCTGGGCAGTGTTGTCATCTGTCTCCCCACCACTGCTCACCCTGTGCAGTCTGGGGCTGCCGACACATTTTAGCTCAGTTCAGAACCAGCGCCACAAAGCACACCATGGCCTGAGTGATACTGTGCCAGCGAGTGTGTCTGTGGTGAGTATTTGGTGAGCAGTGTCACTCACTCATCAGAGCATGAAGCCTCCCCTGCTGCATGTCTGCCACCACAGGGCAGGCGCATGGGCCCTGCTCTCTGTTTGCAGCCCGGGCAATCCTGCCAGATTAAACAGGGCTGTTCGCTGGCTCACTGCACCTGGCAGTCCCACAGCTGTACCGAGAAAGGAGAAAATCTGTCATTTCAGCCGAGATTTTCACACCAGACCTGGGCCCCTCTCCATGGAGGCCTCTTTTCTGATGGAGTCCTTGAGGATGTTGGGTTTCTGCACATACAGCTGACACCCATGGGAAATTTTATCTGTTATATCTCTCTGGGTGAAATTTCTGGGTACCTTTCACCCTTATCGGGGGTTTTACTCTGACCTAGCTACAGAACCACTAGGAATGCCAGAGAAGGTTTCCTGAAGAGACAGGAAGATAGATTTGAGTGTTTACAAGGCTGGAGGAAACCTGGGATGGCTGTGGTGCCTGTACTCTGCTTGGAAAAAGGCTTCAGGATGGGAAGAGATGCCTAGCGCAGAGCATCCCTATCCCTGCCAAAACACACAAAATTCTGTAATAGGAGAGATATTTCTCAGGTGACTATTATAATTGGTTTTATTATTTATTAGTGATTGAAATCAGGACTCAGGACTTGTCTGTCTCAGCACAGGGCAGTTCTTGGAGCAGGCTCAGTGAGGAAGCGTGCAGACACAGAGACGTGCTCCCCCCACTCCGCTGCGGTGCTGCGGCCGAGCTGGGGCTGTGCCAGGCCGGGGCTGGCGGGTACCTCCATGAGCCAGGCTCAGGGACTCATGGAAAGCTGTTCCCCCACTCCTGCAACACCCCGTGGGGTGGGATGGTGAATCCAGCTGCAGGGCAGGAGCAGAGGGGGACACACCGGTGCAGGAGCGGAAAGAAACAACAGGAAATCCTGTGCATGGCCGTGCTGGCTGCAGCGTGCTGCAGCAGCACTTGCAGGCTGCTCAGCTGTGTGCTGCACCTCCAGCCACACCTGCAGCACGCCCCGAGCTCGGGCACTGCAGGGCCTGGGTCCCGGAGAGGCGGCTCCGCTCCCGGCACGGGGGCAGTGGGTACGAGCCTGCTGCCCCAGCTGCGGGGCACAGCTGGCACAGCCGGGGGCAGCCACACGGCCTTTCCCCTGCAGTGCTGCCCACAGAGCCCTTGCCCTGGACATGCCCACCATGCACACAGCCGGGCAGGAGCCACTGCCGGGCTTCCCAAAGCTGGCACTGCCAGTGAGGATAGGACACCACGGCGTTTTCCCCTGGGCTGAGCGAGAGGCATTTCCAGCCGGCTCTGAGTGCAGCAGAGCTTTGGGTAGAAGGGCTGCTGGCTTTGGAAGCCTGGAGTTGGTGGTAACCCCAGCAGAAATAGCAAAAATGGGCCTGCAAGTGCCTGGCAGGCGAGGCCAGCCGTGCTGCGGGTGCCGGCGCTGGCAGGCAGCCGTTATCTGCGGCTTGCAGCAGGAAGGAGTCCCGGGCCGCCGCCCCAGCGCTGCCCCATTTCCACGGGGAGCGCGGGTGATGGCCCATGCCAGCGGCCCCAGCCCGTTCCCCGCCAGCTGCCCGCGGGCAGATTAATGGCTCGCAGGGAGACGGCTGCAAACCGCGTGTCCGTGTCCGTGTCCCTGCCACGAGTCCCCGTCAGCGAGCTGGGCTGCAGCGCCATGCAAAGCACTTCCTCTGCCATGTGCTTTTTTACTAGCAGACAGTAATTTTTGCTTCCTTAAGAAAGTAGATGCGCAGAGCCCGGCCCGTGGTTACCGCTGCACGAAGGGCTCCCTTCGCTCGCTGCCTTGGCCCCACGGGTTGGTAAGTGTCGCTCTCTGGGCTGTCACCGCTTCCCCTGCCGGGCCGGTGTGCTGCGGTCGCAGAGAGCAGCAGGCGGCAATTGGCCCCGTGGCACCGGGGGCTGTGCCAGCAGCGCTGCCGGAGCCCCGGGCACCGCGCAGGAGCCCCGGTGGGACCGAGCCACTGCCCCAGCGCGGGTTCGCCGGCTCCCGCATCAGGAGAGCGGCTGTCGGTGATGGACGGTGAGTCCTTCGCAAGGCTGGGCGGTTTCATTGGCGTCTTTCATTGTGCTTTCGCGTGTGTGCCTCGCTATCGGGAGTTAGTGAAGACTTCAATCATTTATTAGAGAAATTAACACTAAATGCAAGATGGTTTTATGCAGGGCATGAGTAACAAAACTTTGTGGTTCTGAAGAGCATTAAAAGTTGCAGTCAGACCCACCATAGACCCACTGTGGTTGTGCTGGGGGTCCACTGGGACCCCTGTGGTGTGGAGCTGCACCCTGAGTGAGCAGCAGCCTGCTCGCAGGGACACGTGGATCAAACACGGCGTGGTAGCCACTGCCACGGCGCTGGTGTGTGCAACTTCTCTTTCTTCTGCTTTTACCGCAGTTTTAGCCGTTCATCACCTGTGGTGCTTACTGCACTGGAAAAGTTAGAGAGGTTTTTGCATGCTTACGAGAGCCCTGTGAGCTGGTTTAACATCTGCTGTGTTCTGGCAGTAGAGCGGACACAGGGCTGGTGAGGCACCCCTGCCATGGCTGTGCACCACTTTGGGTGCATTTCTCTGTGAGGCCGAGTGCTGCTCCTCCGCAGGGTCCTGCCAGCCCTGCGCCACTTTGGGTGCATTTCTCTGTGGGGCTGAGTGCTGCTCCTCTGCAGGGACCTGCCAGCCCTGGGCGAGGCAGGTGGGTGTCCATCCCGGGAGCGTGGCTGCTCAGCCCCTCTCCGGCACTCTGGGGGGCTGTTGGGTAAGTGCATGGGAGATTGAAATGACATTAATCCTCTGAGAGCGACCCTCAGCTTCCTACCGTGAAATCTGCTGCTGCTGGCGAACGTCCCGCCAGTTTTCCGTGACTAAACACCACGTTGGATTGCATGCAGCAGCCTGGGTGGGGCTGAGCACCCACACTGCTCCCGTGGGGCTGGGGCTGTGACCAGGTGCTGCTGGAGGGGCTCCAGCATGAGCTGCAGAGAAGGAAAGAAACTGCCTTTGCAGAAAAGGCAGAAGCTGTAACGTCTATCACAATTATTTGCTAGGAATTGTGCTGTGGACTTTTCTCATTTATGTGCTTGTAGACTAGGAGAGATTCTAAGTATCTTACTGCTTTCAACAAAAATACTATCACACAGTAGTTGCAGGAGGCTTTAAAATAAAAGGACAAAACAGTGTAAGGGCCAAGTCATAAATTTGTGTGCTATATTTACAGAATGCACATGCAGATGAGATCATTAAAACAGAAACAAATGTGCTCTGGCCTGGCGGGAAGCGGTGGCTGCGTGCGCCGCGCAGCAGCCGCGGGAGCGGCTCCGGAAGAGCAGGGAGGCAGCAGGGCCTTCTGTGGCAGCCGCACTGGAGCTTGTGTCAGACCTTTTTGGGGAACTTGAGCTTCACCAGCGTTGCACAAATAAGGGCATCAGGAAGCAAACGGCTTCTCCAGGGTTGCAGTCATGTTCAGTTCGGGTTTGAAGCAACTCGTGGGTCTGCCTTAAATGAAGGTTCAAAGAGAGAAGGAAAATCAGAGTATAGGCTGATTTAGTGACTGCTGTATTGCAGCTGTTTGGTGAGATAAAATGAAGACACACTTGGAGCTCAGGTGGTTTCTGTCTGTGTGTGAGGCCAGGTACAGAGCCCCCCATGCTCCTGACAGGCGGGAGCCCGGCAGTGAGGAAGGGTTTTTGTTCTGCCCGAGGCGCAGCCAGGATGAGGATGCCCACGGCACCCTCGTGTCAGGCTCTGGGACACACTGGTGTCTGTGCTCCGGGTGACCACTGGCCCTGCTGGGCTCAGAGGGAAGGGCAGACACCTTGGCACCATTTCCACTGGTCAGCCTCTCACCCCAACAGCGCCAGGGCTGCACTGGCTCAGCCAGGAGAGCTCCTCTTCCTGCTCCACGTGCAATAGCACACAGGGACTCTAAAACACAAAGCATCCCTCAAAAACCTTTCTCAGCACACAGTGCTTCTCTTCGTCCTCAAGTACGATTTATGTCTTCAGGGCTGAGCGGCAAACGATGCAGAGCGTGCTATGACACATTTCTTTATCTTTGCTGTAAGACAATTAGTCTGTTGGAATCCCAGGTGGTGGCTGTTGTTGGCATTGGATGATGACCTGGGAGACCTCTGCATCTGACATTTCCTTACGGTTTCCTCCCATCACTGTGCCAGGACACAGCTCCAGTCTCCCAGCGCCAAGACACTGTTCCACGCCATTATTTAAGAAGAATTTGGGCAGGGAGGAGTTTGTACAGAAACTTTGTGACCAGAACAAGTGCTTTGAAAACGCCCAGAGCGGTGATGTCGGTTCTCAGGGAGGAAATGGCCCAGGGAGCTCTTTGTGCTTGAACGGGAACAGGAAGAGCACGAGTGGCCCAGTACAATGTTCACTCCTGTAACAGGGCCCATCGGGGCTGTGCAGCCAGGGCTGCTCTGGCTGGGGGACATCTGCACTGCACCACGGCGAGGCAGGCAAACAGAAAATACAGGGGGATACCAGTTGTCAGGGGTTTTGTTCTGCTCTGGATTAAACTTCATTGAAACAAAAGTGTAAGAACACATCATTTTCTGAAAGAAAATGGAATGCTTCTTTGTCCTTTCAGCCTCCCGTTTCTAGCAAAAAGCCATTAGAGTTAACCTGCAGGTGTCAGAAAGCTCTCCCAGCCACTGAGGTGCCGGCACTCCCTCGGGCATGTGGCACATCTGGATGCTCCCCAGGCTGGGCACCTCTGAGGAGGGATGCTCACTAAACCCATTCTGTTTCCAAAGTGCTGCCTACTCCGCTGCAGGGCTGATTAGAGCACAAGAAAAGCAAAGTTAATTATATCCCCTCCAGGCTGTGTAATAGAACAAAAAGCTTCATGAAGGAAGCAGCTGGAGTTAGATCTAGAGACCAGCTAACAAAATCTGTCTCCCAAAGTCAAGTGAGGAATTATTCGTCATTACTTCATCTCAGAAAACATAACCGAGATAAACTCCTTGTTTCTTTCTTTGTCTCTTTCCTTGTCTCTTTCCTTGTCTCTTTTCAGTTTGTTTGTGTTTGCTAAACTGTGGTGAGCACCACGGTGGTCTGATGAGCCCTTTGCACATGGCCCCGTGTGTGTGTCCTGGCAGAGGACACTTTGATACACCTCTGGCTAATCTAGACCACTGCGTCTCCTTTAGTGCACTCTGCCGTCGGTGTCAGCCGCACGGCAGGACCAACAGCTGCCCAGTGACAGGGGCAGCGCCGAGCTGTTGCCTGGGCAGTGGGACTGCGTCTCCGGAGGGCCGGGGAGCGGTGCAGCTGCTGCCGGTGGGTGCCGGGGGAGCCGTGCCAGCCCCCGCAGCAGCCGGCGGAACCAGCCGCTGTGCACCGGCTCCTGCGGCTCCGATGGAGGAGGAGCGGGCGCCGGAGGAGAGCAGGATCCCGCTGCCTGCTTGGGGAGGCAGATCCTCGGAGGATCGTGTCCCCCGGCACGGCCCTGGGGGCTCTGCAGCCCCGCGCTGGGCGCTGAGCGGCCGGGCCCGGGCAGCGCCGCCCCTGCCGTGCCTCCCGCGGCCGCAGGCGGCGGGGCCGGGCACGTGTGCGGGCCCGGCTCGGTGACTCATGAGGCGCCGGCCGCTCCGCCGCGGGGAGGATGAGGGAGGGCGGCCCCGGGGGAGGGCAGCCCGCCGCGCCGCCGCCCCGCTCCGCGCCTGCCCCTCGCTCCCGCGGTGCCCGGAGCGCGGAGGCCGCCCCGGGAGCAGGTGAGCGCGGCCGGGCCGGGCCGGGCCGGGTCCCCGCGGGCTCGGGGCTGCCGGCGGGGCCGGGGCCGGGTGGCGCTTCCGGGCGGGGCGGGAGCGGCGGCGGAAGCGGCGCGGGGCTGGCGCGGGGAGCCCGGGCCGCGCTGCCTCCGCCCGCCGCGCCGGCGGCGCCGTCAGCATGAGCGGCTGAGCGGGCGGGCCGCGCCGGCAGGGCCGCGCCGGCAGGCCCGGGGTAAGTGCGGCGTGAGGCCCGGCCCGCGGGGCGGCGGCGGCGGCGCTCCGGGGCGGCTCCCGGGGAGGGGGGCTCGCTGGGCTCGGCGGGCCGGGATAAGCACCGGGGGCCGGGGCGGCTCCCGGGGAGGGGGGCTCGCTGGCTCGGCGGGCCGGGGACAGGCACCGTGCTGCGCCAGGGGCCGGGGCGGCTCCCGGGGAGGGGGCTCGCTGGGCTCGGCGGGCCGGGGACAGGCACCGTGCTGCGCCAGGGGCCGGGGCGCGGCCCTCGGGCAGGGTCCCCGCGGAGCCCGCGGGGCGCTCGGCAGCGCGGGGCCGGGGCCGGGGCTCGGGGCTCGGGGCTCGGCCGGGGCTCGGGGCCGGCAGCGCCGGGCGGAGGCGGTGGCGGAGGCGGTGGCGGTGGCGGAGGCGGTGGCGGTGGCGGAGGCGGCGGGCGGGCCCCGGCCGTGCGGGCGCAGCACACGGCGGTGCGGGCGGCAGCGCCCCGCGCGCTCTCACCGCACGGCCTGGCCCCGCAGCGTGACGGAAAGAGAGGTTTCTGTTTCCTTTCTGGAGAAAGTTCTTGAATTCAGAACTTTGGTTTGCAGGTGCAAGCAAGTCAGTTACGACGGTAGTATAGTGGAAGAGAAAAATGCAGGGATGTTTGTGTTAAATGGTTGACTTGGAGAAATATGTGATTGGTTTTTTTTAGAAAAAAAGAAATAATTTCTTTAGGTGGTTTTTTTGAAGTGCGGAATATATGCCCCAGGGAAAGTGAGAAGCAGGACATGGGTGACAGAGATATTAAGGAGAGCAGGGAAGGGATGTAACGGGAAAGAGGGATTGTAGTGAATAGTAATGGTAAATAAC